ACAAGAACTGCTGCATCATGACAGCAACTGAAGTATGAGGACAGGTTACCAAAAGCAGGTTAATTGTTTTCCAAACATTTTTCTTTTTTTTTTATGTCTACTTTTTTTTATTTTTATTTTTTGCCTACTTATCTGTCGTATGACGCAATATAAAAGATCAAAGTTAACATTTTTTGTTATACACATGTTTGATCGTAAATTGTTTAGTTTTTTTTTTAAACGTTTTTGTACTCAATTGCTTAGTTATTTATAATAAACTTAGTTATTTTTAATAAATTAATTTAGTTTAGTGCATTTAACTTGTTAAGATAACCAATTTTTTTTTCTAAAGAAAATATTAAACTGAGAGGGGATACCAATAGTTAATAACTCCTGTATAATATAATATAAGTTAACTTCATGATAATCTTAATAAATAATTAAGGTTTATGTTATAAAAAATATTACAAGAATTTAGTTGATATTTAAAAAGAATGGCGAAGTATACTATTTTGTGTTGAACTTAGAAATGTCGATAAAAATGGTTCTGCCTTACACTGATATGACCTATGTCAGTTGTAAATTACTCCAATGTGTTAAATAATAATTGGTAAATTAATTTACCTCCTCATACTTAATATGTTAATTTTACCGAGAGATAAATTTGTTTAATTTAAATGCGTTTTTCTAAAAGGGTATTAATTAGAAATTTGCAACTTTAAATTGTGGAAAACAGCCACTATAAAATAATTATGTAACAGACCGACCATGAGGAATCGTCTATAAAGTACGAATGGTCGGAGAGGAAGAGGAGGTCTGCAAATGGCGTTTCTGAGATAAGGGGGCAGTAGGTCATTTATAATATTATGAAGACACTAAATTAAAATAAAATTATAAAGTGATGGGTTAGTAGGTTAAAAACGTAGGTACTTTCAGGGAAATAGAGAGTACTCAAAAATACGAAAGGCGAATTGCGGGGGAGGGGGGGGCGTGGTTGGCGAAAAAAAAGCGTATGTACTTTTGGACGACCCCTAACCCGTTTTACGGATTACTTTTTGCTAGTATTTATAAAAATTGATTATTTTTTTTCAAATAAACGTGTCCGTTCGCTTATCTTCTCGGCTGCCGTCAGAAGCATTTTAACCATGATATATCAATGGAAGCTATCCAGCGAATTTATTACACTTGGAATGATTAGATCGTGACCATAGATATGATAACCACATTTGAAGTTCAAAATTGTTACGATACATGTTAGAATCAATAATATTTTTTGGTCTTTTTTTTCAAAAAAAAAAAGAAGATATAATCTCAACAGTTAAAAACAATTATTTGTGAGCAGCAAAGTTACCAGAAAAAATACGTCAAGAAAAATAGTACGAATTATTATTCAATGATTTTTAGAAAGAAAGATATATTCTTTTATTTCACTAAATTAACACAAAATTATAAACATAAATATTTTTGCACAAGTATATCAGTTGTTTTGTCAGCAATTATGTCCACATTAAGTTTCAGTTCGTAAGTAAGATTTTTATTATTAAAATAAATACAGGATTAAAGATAGAACCGTTTAACATCAGAGAAGTTATTGGCAAACTTCATGCTGTTTTAGGTATAAACTTGTCAAACTATTCATCATAAGTATTAAATTAATAATTTTTTTGTATCTACACCTGTATGCATGTGTTTATGCAAATATTGATAAAAAAATTGGTAAAAAAAATTAATGTTCTAACATCAATAATATAACAATAACTAATCAAATAAAGTAAAAAAAGGAATGGTTAAAACTCAAATGTTACACTCGAACAATATAATATTGATTATACTTTTATAGCGTCACTTTAATCTATTTTTGTATAGTTTTTTATTATATTTAATTTAATATGTTTTCTTAAATAAACTTTAAGTTGAAGCCATTTAAGTTAAATCTGTTTGGATATCTTATATGCAAAAGTTAAAATATAGAAAAATGTTGAAAGTAGATCCTTTATTGCACCATTTTAATTCAATATTATGCGTATATATTTATTTTACAAATAATATACTAAGATGCAGTATATTAGTTTTTGTAAAGATTTTTTTCGATGGCCAATGAACTATGAAACTGTAAATCTTTCCTGGAATAGGCTGAAAACAATACCTTAATCTCCAATTAAGGTATAATTTTTACACAAAATGCGTAATTTACTATTGTGATAAATAAATAAATAAAGATTTATTAGAACAAATTTAAAAACTACAAGGAAACAAAGGTCCAATAAGTGGACACTGATAATATGCCCCAAAATAAGAAAACAAAGTACATATGGAACAATAAAGTTTATAATAGAAACATTCAAGATTTCATTGATTCATTTACTTTGTAGACACAGTGTTTATCGAAATTGCACATTTTTATTTTATATTTAGATATACAAATGTTATCAGCATTTACAGATTCTGATGTCAGATTATTCCAGATATTTACAACTCGATGAGAAAAACAATATTTTTGAATGTCAAGTTGACATCGTTTTTTGCGAATCAAAGAAGTATGACCACAGGTATATTTATTATTTGTAATTTTGAAAAACAAACTTTTACCTATGCAAACTAAATTATGCATAACTTTGAAGCATATAACTAAATCATGTTTTAAACGTCTGAGCTCCAGAGAATCCTAACCAAGCAGCTGTAAACGGCTAGAATAGTTTAAACAACTTAAAAAGATTAGCAAATTTTTTTGTGAACCGTTTTGAATATTTTCAACAAATTTTATGATTTTATATATTTGGTGTGGCGACCAAACTGGAGATCAATATTTAATACATGGTCTTATATAAGTGATAAATGGACATACAAATATACTAGGATTGCGAGTTTTAAAGCATTTTAAGATTAGGTATGCTATAGTATTTGCAACATAAATGAAAAAATTCGTTTATGATATTTAAACTAATTGTTATAAAAAGATTTTTTTTTAATTTAATGTATTAAATTTTTTTCGGTATTGCATATACCCTCGTTATTTAATAACAAAGTTATATTAAACTTCTAAACAAATATTCGTAAGAAAATAAAACCCGCTAAAAAAAAAACAAATAAAAAAACTTTGCCACTAAAATAAGAAAGATACTGTTTTCAAAACAACGATGTGACTTGATCACCTTAATCATTATATTTGTTTCAACCATTTGGAGAACACTGGTGACATATTTTCATAGTATTTATAGCTTTTCTCATAAAAAATCTGTTTGTACTTTAATTGCATTAAGATAAAATATAAGCATTTCTGTTTGTAGCATTTTGTCAGTTTTTGAATGCTATGTTAAGTCAAATTCTTCCATTTTATTTTTAAAGTATGTCAATGCGTGTTAAAACTTTGAGTTTTCAACATTTATTTAAACCAGGATAAGAGCTTGTAAAATTCAAGGCCTAATTTTTTTGTTATTATTTGTTAAAGAGTATTAAGTTAATTACTCAGTTTTAGTACCCTTGGTAACGAGATATAATGAAAGCCTAGTTTTGCTGTTGCTCATAATGCATAGGAAGATGCTCTGAGACCTTGCAACACATCCCTTAAAAATTTGTTTTTGTTCATTATCAGCAGACTCCCTCTTAATTAAAAAATGTAAAAAACAACTTTTTTCATTGGGATCCTATGGAGAAATCAGGCGAGTGCCTAGTAATTTTGTTGTTCAAGATAGGTAACTAAGAACTACGTGGCATACTCAAATTTTAAGTATGTTAATAATGGTATCAAAGGAGGATGAATTACAAAAAGTTTAGGTGATTGGAGCTAACCCAACCGCGCCCTGATCCCAAAATTCTCTTTTTCCTAAACTCCGTCTCCTAAGGTAATACATTTTTTTTTATTAAGTTTTATCATAAATAAGACCAAAACTTATCGACAGATTTCGAGTTTCATCAAAAAATAGCTTTTCGTTTAAGATTTATGACTATAAAAAGTTTAAATTTCCACAAATTTACCCCCTGAAATAACTTTGAATGGTCGTAACTTTTAAACTAGAAAATTTTATTTTGATGAAATTTATAATCTGTTGATGAATATTGATCTAGTTAATATAACACAAATAAAAATTGAAAAATTATTTGAAAGAATCAGGGGTGGGGTATTTAGGGTCCAATAGGTTTAAAGACAACTACTTTTTTGCAGTAAAAAAAAAAATTCTGGTCTATGTGGTTAAGTTATTCTTTATATTTTGCTTGTCTTAGGAGACGTAGTTCTAGGAACGGGGCAATTCAGGGTCGGGACGGGTTAGGTTAGCTCCAATTACCTAAAATTTTTGCAATTTATCCTCACATGATACCAGTATTACCATACTAAAAATATGCCACATAGCTCTAAGTTACCTATCTTGAACAACAAAATTATTATGCACTCGCCTAAAATACGTGATTTCTCCCTTGACCCCCGTTGAAAAAAAGGCGATTTTGAAAATTTTGAAATAAGGAAGGAAAAATTTTCTTGTGATGTGTTGCAAGGTCTAAGAGCATCTTCCTATGCAATGTTTACTGTTTTTTTTATTAATTATTTTGCTTTATGTTTTATATTGTTTTATTTACTTTCAAAAACTCATTTAAGATTCTAACTTTTAAAAAATGTTAACGTAAAATTTATTTTGAAAAACCTTTTTAGTTATTTTTGACTTCTTTCGTTTTTATTTAAGATTTCGGTGCTTTACATGATAAATATTTTTAAAATGAATGTTAAATAAGCATACTTAGAAATAATAGAAAATAATGCGTAATGGTAATATTATTATTAAAAATAACATTAATTTAAGACAATAAAATCTTTTCACAGGTTTTATCCTTATATACTTTAAGGGATTAGGGTTATTAAGATTTCAAAGTTTTGAAATAACTAAATATAAATAGAAAATTAAAAAGTTAAAAAAAATTTGCTAAAAATTAACAGAGAAATATAAATCTTAACTTTAAACCTTTTAAATTTTAACCTTAAACAATAACTTTTCATTATTCATATTTTTTTTTTTTAAAAAAAAACTTACTTATACGGCAATGTAAGCCTATGCCTACATTCTTGACACAGATTATAGAAGGTATTTTGAAGAGTTTTTTTAGGTATGCAGCTAGAAGAATAAAAGTTGTATTTGGTACCACTAGGCATATCAGCCGGCACATCCCAATTGATTTGCTCCTCATCTTTTTGTTCTAAGATAATAGCATTTTTAAGTATTAAAGGTGGTAGACCACTATTTAAAATCAAAAAAATCATTTTTTCAATTATAATTTTTTTAAGTAATATAGCTATTGCAAACTACAAATTTCAAATTAGTTTTATGAAAAAAAATAGCTATCATCTTTAAAAACTATTTTTTTAATAAAGCGTTAAAAGTAAATTTTTTTATTTTTCCATTGCAACTCTTTAATTAATTTTGTTTATTGATTAATTCTTTTGGTGCATTTGGCTACATAAGTTTTATTGAAATTTCCAACTATAGTTGCTGTTTTTTGTTTCACTCTACATTTATTCTATCACTTCAATTTAATAGTGTTAGTGATGGAAAAAAAAGTAAACAGAATTAAGACAAGGCATAGTAATATACTTATTTAATCTTTTTAAAGAAAACCAAAATCAATCAACAAACAATGCAGCTGAAGAAATTGTATCTAATTTGCATGAACTAAAATTTGAATGTAGCATAGTAAAAAAAAAATTTAATGGACATGTGTACATCCAGATCCAGCAGTAAATAATCTGTAAAACTTTTAAATAATGGTTTTGTAAATAAAAATAATAGTTTTGCTAATTACGATCAGTTCAATGTTACAAATAACTGCTACATATTTATGAACACCAACATACGAGATGTAATTATGGCTGCCATTGTTTGCTATCAAAAACTTCCTAAAATGTAACTTTTAAATTATAAATTTTTATGATGCTCAAAACAATATGGCTTATGAAACTGTCTCCTTATTTTATTTAGAAGTTTTATTTTACAAATAATATAAACAAACTAGAAGCAATGAATTTTTAATGTTTATTTATGTACATTGTTAGTTTTTTGACAAATGGGTAAAAAATACCGTAGTGTTGAAAAGTTTTGTGGTTTTATGAACATGCTTGATCCAATAAAGAAAATTTTTAACTAGTTAAACAAAGAAATTATATCAGTTACATAGCTGAAGCTAGCATGAATGCCGCAGCGAAGAAGAAGAAGCCCTGAAAATAAGTTCATATTCTAAAATAACTATAATAAGCACATAGTAGGTAAAGAGGATATCTCTTATGGTGCATAATAGTTTTTGTTTATATATATATATATATATATATATATATATATATATATATATATATATATATATATATATATATATATATATATATATATATATATATATATATATATATATATATATTTAGTTTTTTATATATTTAGTTTATATATATACTTGATATTCATTTTCTAGTAACAACTATTGACATAAAACTGATATGATTTTTTTATTTGAAACTGAATTACAAATCAAAAGTGAGACATAATTTTTTTTTAAAATGAAATCCAACATTAAAAGTATTAATGACTTTAAATAAAACCTGTCTTTTAAAACAATTTTTTATAATTTTCTCTACTTTTACTCCACTACACTTTAAATATAAGTTGTCTGGAAAAAACTTTTCTAGTAAGCAATTCACAAATTTGTAGAATTGTTTACCATCTGTAATAGTGCTCAACATCTGTCACGGCGTTCAAAAAATATCTGGATGCATATTGGATTCATCAAATGTACAATAGCATATAAACAGTTAGACAGACACAATTAGAAACAATAGAACCAAAGGTTGATAGGCTTTTTTATATACCTACTTATTCTCTTTGTAAAATTATAACGTTAAAAAATAATAATAATAATAATAACAATATGTTATATCAAAATTCTTACAATAGTTATTTGCCAAAAGATACCTTAACATTTTCCAATATTAAGTTTGTTGGTATATCATATTTTATTAAAACCAACCCTAATACTTAAATAACCAATGTTGTTTATCATTTTTTTAATCTTAAATAGTAAAGTTATACAATTCACTCTATGTTTATTGCAGTATGCCAGTAAACAAACTCTTTTTTATTTTATTAAAGAGTATAATTTTATTTTTTGTAGAAATAAAATTAATATGAAATTAAATTTCAAATTTATTAAAAACCAAATAGTTTTTATATTTATTTTTTTAGTGTTGTATATTAAAAACACGTTTTTTCAGTGTTCCATAACTGAGAAAAATATTAAATGCCTGGCTAATTTATTCAAATAAGCATGAGACTTCAATCTCAAGCTAATTTAAATCTCGTAATTTAGTAGTAAATATTTATATAAAAATAATATTAGCCTTAATTTGGTTATCTTCCTTAATGTCATAATAAATAAGAAAATATTATTATGAAAACCTTTCCTATTCACACAAACTTAAAATTCTTTTGTTAAGTTTGCACACTTTGAAATTCTTTTTTATTACTAACCAATCATCAAACATTTTTAGAAATAAAAAGCGATTACAATTTACATTAAGAAATAAAGCTCAATAAATTTTAGACAGTTATTTCAGTTAAAAAAAAAATAATTTAAAAAAAGTTAATCTGAAGTTTTTCATGTTATATAACTATTCTTTGTGAATTTTTTCAGCTGTTGTACTGTTAAATTGAAAATGGCAATAAAGTTTAAAAAATTTGCTCTGGCTAAACATTTTGTGAGAAAAACAACATGTGGGCAATGTATGCAACTTGTTTTTCATGGTTAATCAATGAAAGTTTCATATGTTGGCCAAAACACTTGCAAGCATCTTACTTTTTGGCTGCCATACGTGAAGCCACGCTTCTGAAAGTAACTGGAAGTAGTTGATAGTAAATTTTTTTTATTATTTTAATAATTACTTATCTACAATATTGTTTTTGTATGTTTAATTTTAAGTTACATACGTGCAAGATGCTAATTATCTAGACAGCTAAATTTGACTCAAATACTATTCATTGTTTAGTAAGGTTTCATATTTTCTTTATATTTTTTTTGACAGTTAAGAAACTGCTATAGAGTGGAAATGTTAGAGTTTACATCAAGTGTTGAAACAGCTGTTGATAGTGATTAAGAAAATCTCTGCCTCCAGCTTAAAAAGTTGCAGGTTACAAAAAAAGTGACACTGATGATATTGTAAATCAGTTTCTAAAAGATAAACGAAATCTTTAGTTTTATAGGGTTAAGTGTTTCCATCAGAGTTTTGCTTGACCATCTCCTTCAATTTATTGAGTTGATTGATTTTTTTATATTCAGTTATTTGTTGGTTAAAAGGAAAAAGATCATCTTAACCTGAAAGAAAAATTATCGAACAAAGGCGTATAATGAATACAAAAAAATGATAAAATATGGTACATGATTGATTATAACTATGATGTATATAAGAATGTTTTATATAAATGTCTATTATATTTTATCTTATCTTTTATGATTTTTATCTTCTATTTCCAATTAGCTATGTATTTTGTGTAGCAATGACTACTAATCTCAGGCATCTATGAAATCTTTACGTTTTTGCATTCACCACAGCATTTTGCTGTGGCAAATGCAACCAATCTTGAACAATTATATACTACTCCGATATTGTGGTCAAGGATAGGAGAAAATCACAAACCCGTATGAAATTCTGGATGGTATTCTTCCTTGTGTTACATTATAAAAATTTTTATAAAAAAAAAAATCAGTCTTGATCTGCTAAAAAGGTTGACCTATTCTATTTATAACCAATTGTTTTTACTCTTCCATAAGGTCATATTTTAATAAGAATCACATTGTGGAAAACCGTCTAATATCATGGCCTACTTTATTTATACAGCCGGATATTTTACATTTTGAAGAAAAAAATAGAAGGCCAGTTTTTAAAATCGTAATGTTTCAAAAATTTAAAACGTTTTGAACATTTTCAATAATATTTTATTTTCTACATTTAAAAAGTCCACAAAAGTTGTATTTATTCATAATTTTAGATATTAAACGAACATTTATTAAGAAATAAATAGTGTTTATTTTAAAATGTAGAATTAGTAAAAACGATGTAAGAAACAAGAACAGTTATAAAAAATATTTAAATGTTTCTCTTTTTTCAATTAAAAATAAAATAATTATATATAATTTATTAAATTTTCTCAAATTTTCTCTTTTTAAAAAATTTTACATGATCAACAGCTACTTCACTGGTAGAGATAATTCTTTTATTATTAAGAAAAATGTTAACAACAATTCTTCCAGGAGGTTTTATCCCAGTTTTCTCTTGCATGGGACAAGAAAAAGTCTGAAAAGAGTCATAAAAGTGGTTTAACAAATATTCTAAAGCTTGTCGTGCGTTTTTTTATAAAAGTAGTCAATCATAGCAAAGGATGTGCAAACATAATCCAAAAGTGATGGTGAAGGAATAGTGAGACCACCCCTAGAAATAATTGTTAAATAAGTATGATCAGGATTGCTTTCATCAATATTGACACAACATAAAAATTCTTTACAACATGTACCAAAACGTTTTTTAAGTTTCTTTGCTATATAACCAGCAATATGAGCACCTACTTCCCTACTTTCTGGTGCAAGTGTCATGATTTCTGGAGTACACTGAGCTTCATCAATATCAAGAAGAAAGTTTTTCCAATCTGTTTAATTATTTTCTGACACTTTCTGGCACTTTTAAACTATCATTGAAGTTAATACTTTCTTTAACTTTACTTTTGATTTTTAATATTTTTTCAGAAATAGTGACATCTTTTAAACCTACCAAAAATCTTCCACCGCTCATTTGTCTATATTGTCCAAATCTCCTTTCTAATGGGTCACTTTGAAATCTCGCAGTTAAAACAAAGTGATATCCATCATTAAGCAAGTCCTCGATCAATGAGGCATGACTATTAAGTGTTCTTATTAGTGCTGCAGCTGTCTGAATACTTAAAGTAAACTTCTTACAGTTTGGTATTTTTTGTGATTGCCAAACTTCAATCCAATGTGCCATTTCCCGAAGAAATTCAGGTTTTTTATCACCAGAAACGACTGCATTACCTAAAATATTACATGCTGAATACTGACATTTAGAATTTGATAAAACCCACCACTTGTTAAATAATGTAAGAAAATCTGCACTATATTTAAGATCTGGAAAATATTTTAGTGAATCG